GTATTATTATTACATTTATCATGGGGAGATGGTAACATACATAACATATCTCAATTCTTTTTATGCCCCCTTCCTACCACTCCTTACCAGCTGACTATAGACTGAAACATGAGCCAAAATAAGCCTCTTCTTCCTCAAGCTGTGGGTGTTGAGTATTTTGTCCCAGCAAAGAGGGAAGTAACTAAGGCAGTGCATGCCCTAGATTTCCAGCCTAACATAGCCTACAGAGGAGCTCATCTTAGGGAACGCAGTGGCTTGTGGAGTGAAATTCACTCAAGTAACAGCTCCACATTGAGAAAAAGTTCCCACATACTGCCAACTGGCTTGTCACTCCAGATTCCTTCCCCTAGATACACTCTCTTTCAGGGGCTTTCTAGAAGTGTGCTAAGCTGTTTAACAACTGGCTCAGGGAATGAGATTGGGAAGGCCCTGTTGAGAGGATTTGCTGTTTTCTTTGGTGTAAATGCTTCTGGCATGATCCATTTCAAGCTACTAACATAAAATTCTCAAATAGGGAATTGGAACAAGAGGCTCACAGTGGGCTCTTGCTAGCTGTGAGGTTGATTGGCTGTAGCACATCTCTGCCTTCTCCATCTCCTTGATTGATGTCTTCTGTCTCCAAGCAGCCCTGCTTGTGTGTGTCCACCCTACTTATGAGCATGTTTTGAGTTCTCTCAGGAGGTTTCCCGGCATCCATGTAAACCCATGGATGCAGAGTGAGAAGAGGGTGTCCTCATTTTTGTTACTCACTGCACATGTCTAATAGTGTAGGTACCAGTCTCAACCTTGGTCCATCAAGGCATTCTTTTTCACATTTTGTTAGTGTTGACTAAGTAATGAATGACTGCCCTCTATGTTAGGCTTGAGCATCTCAGAGTGGTTTTGTTATACTAAAAAACTGAATTATTGTAAGCATATTTGCCATTTATCAGATGGTTTACAATAAACTTCCTTAGGGATTCCCGAGACCTTTTGGTGCTGCTTTCACACAACGCTTAACTGGTGAATTACTCCCAAATCCAAGCAGAACTAGATATTGACCTTTCAAATGAATTAGAAGATGAACCAATTTCTTAGACTGTTGGTAATAAATTGGGGGGTCAGCCTATTACTTCTAAATTCTGTGTCTGTGTGTGTGTGTGTGTGTGTGTGCGCGCGCGCGCATGTTTTGTTAGGGAATGGAATGCCTTGAATGTCTATATTTTAGTTTTTCCAAGGTCAATTTATTAGAGACGTAGTATTCTGAAATGCATTTGTTATTTTTCTAACTTCTCTGGAAATTTCAATAATTGGCTTATGGTGTCAGAGGAAAAATCAGCTTCTTTTCTATTGATAGGGAGGGAGCTATTGACTCTCACCTGTCAGAAACTAAGTCAGACTGAAGTAGACATTCTGCCTATCATGAGGCATCATAACAAGCTGGGGAAAAGTTACAAGCCAGTGTTCTAACACTAGCATTGCTTATTCAGTTCAATCCCAGAACCAAATTATTCCAAACCATTGTAATAATGATGGTTCACATATAAAGATTAAAATTGGGATGCTATTATATATTTGTAGTTCATAGGAATCTTGTCATTAATATTTTTCAGATACTGTACAATTTTATCACATAAAAGCACTGTAATTTATTTAACTTTTATCATTCAACATAAGCATGATTCTAGTATGATGATACTTTGAAGAACAAACTTGTGTCTGAGTCTACCTTTTTTACCTCTTTGGTAAGAAATGAAGATGGAATCATAGACACAAAATGGCTGGATTAAAGAGTAAAGGTATTTTTAAACTTCTTGCTTTGTAGACCTGAAATTGCTTTTGAGAAAGTTTTATCAAATTGAATTTCTGTGAGATTACTATCTTCTAAACAAAGGAGGGTGAAAATCCTCCCTGTATGAGGTTTAATAATATAAATAGAATATGATGGAACCTTGGTGGTTGCTTTTGTTTGTTTGTTTGTTTTTAAGACACTGTCTTACTGAATTGCTAAATTGCCCAAACTGGGCTTGAACTTGTGATCCTCCTGCCTCAGCCTCCCAGAGAGCTAGGATTACAGGCACGTGTCACTACACCTGCCTTGGTCCCTTGTTTTTAACTTAAGTTTTGTCTGCTATAAAACTGCAACTTTTGACAAAACAGAAATTACTAGTTTAGTGTCAACTTTGTAAAATATATTCATCACCCATCATCAATGTGCAAGCTGCTGAATTAGGAAGGAGATGGAGAAACAGGTAATGTTTCCAGGCCTATGCAAATAATTGGGAACCCCAAAGAGTTTGTTGGGTAGAAGTTCTTTGGTTGTTTTTCTTTCTTCTGCAGCACCAAGCATAAGGCATCTAACAAACAAGATGTAATATGTCAAACAAGGTGTGGCCTTAGGTGTACTCCTGAATGAGTGGCTGTCACACCTGTATTCAAAGGAGGTGGCAATAAGAATCAAGAAACTGATCTTATCATTTTGTTGTTTTTACTTGTCATGCAGGGTGTGATTAGAGTGTTTTCCTTTTAAATGGCTTTTAATGTGTTTGGCCAAAGAAAAAACCAGAGCAGTTGGTAAGTGGAGTGCTTCACCATCTGCCATCTGTCCATATCACATTTCCTTTGCTGCAGTTCCAGCAGCTCTCTGCCTGGGAAGACTAACTTTTTACAAATAGGTCACTTCTACTCATTTTAGCCAACAGCCCTAGACATAAGAAAACATGAGTTTCCCCTCACCTGCTCTTTCTTTTTAAACATGAAATTATCAAGTAATAATGAAATAATAAAAACTGTACTTCTTTTGAGAATCCTTCCAGAATTTTATACGTAGAAACAAAGATATATGTATGTACATAAACATTTAAAAGCAAATATATTCACACAGTCATCTTACATGCATACATATAATTCTAATTTTGCTTTACAACATATTCTGAACATCTCTTTATATCAATAGAGATCTTTCCTCTTCTTCCTACATACTTACACATAATTCTAATTTTGCTTTACAGTACATCTTGAACATCTCTTTATATCAATAAATAGAGATCTTTCCTCTTTTTTTAACAGTACAGTAATATGTAATATGTATGTTTCTAATGTGATTTTTTTTTAACCAGTTTGCCACTGATGGGTATATCCCATTTTTGTTGGAATCAGTCAAAGCCACAATGTAGATACAGGATATTTCTGAGAATGTGTATCTACGATGAATCTTTAGGTCAAAGACTATGTGCCACAAAAATAATCTTTCAATGATAAGAACAAAGCAAAGCAAAAGATGAGCATCTATGTATACAAATGGAACAAAAATAGGTAATATTTTAAAGATTTTATAAAAAGAACTACCTGATATATTTTCCATTCTGCCATTTTGAGAGGCTTAAGTAATATTTGAATTGTTTGTTCTTTTTTTTAAGTAACTACTTCAAAGACTCTAATAATTGTAGTGAGATTGAAAAATGACATCTTAAGAAGTACGAATGGACCAGACATGGTTGTTCAGGCCTTGTACTTCCAGTATGCAGAAGAATTGCAAGTTGGAGTCCAGCCTGGGCAATTTACAAAGACCTTGTCTGAAAAAAAATAATAAAGGCTGAGGATATAACTTAGTGGTACAACAGTTGCCTAGCATGTGAGAGGCTCTGGTTCAATTCTTACTACTGCTAAAAATAAAAATGAAAATGCAAAACCTGAGGTCACTCAATGGTTGGTCACAAATGAATACTATGATCTTGAGCAAATCATATCCTAAAATCTCAGCTTTCCCATTTGTAAAAAGAAATTGTTGGCAGGCCTTTAAGCCGTGATTTTAATCCAGTTCTCTGACATATTGGGCACATGGAACATGTGTTAGGACTGTTCACAGGCAGATACAGGACACAGTCCTCTGAATATGGACTCTGCTGGGAAGTTCAGCCTTTGCCCAGGTTGGCCTTGTGAGACAAGGGGCAAATAAAACATTTCAGGGGAACAGTTTCCATGTTTCCTACATTGTTTCTGTCATTTGGCCTCAGACATTTGTTCATCTGCTTCTGGAGGAATTGGAGCCAATATTCCAAGCTATGTTTTAAAATCCCTTCAAAGACCACTGCCCTTTGAGATCATTGTAAGTTAGTACCTCAGGTTTGTTCAATGTTGCATAAAATGTAAATTCTCAGTAAATGATAACAACTATTACTATTATAATGATGAAAGGGAATGAGTCAATTAAGATAAGTTTGAAGATTTCAAAGACATTCCAAAATGTCAATAAGATTAAAGAGAGTCATTCAAAACAATATGAAAAAGAATCAGTCCCCAGAAGATTCTATCATAAACCCTAAAATTTACATTTTGCTCTCTCCCAGTATGGCTAAATTGGGCATTTATTCATATTCACTTTTTTGTTCATTCTCGGGCTTAGCAAACCTAAGGATCTGACCCTGGGAGAACCACTCCACACTTTGGGTTTCCCCTGACAGCTCAGATTTCCAGGGAAATCAGGCCAAAAAGAAATGCGAATTCACTTTAGACTATGAGCTTTACTTGTAGGACCTACTGCTTGGTATCTCTGAATTCAACTTGTATTTCTTTAAAGAAGAATAAAAACTGAGGATGAAGGAAAATACTTTATTAGAACTAATGAGTTGCTAAAGAATGTAATGAGCTGTTGGAAGCTCCTGGGATTTGAATTTCTGAAATGAATTCCTTCAGACAGTAGACATATGACTCACCAACTTTGGCCATCAAGGCAGGCTGAGTCATCTAAAGTCAGCTGAATCACCTGCTTTTAGCTCTGTTTTATAAGAATTCAGGCTGTCTGGATATTTCTGTCTCCATGATTGGGAGTATTAAGCATTTAAATATAATGGAGAAGATGATGCCCTTCTTAGGAAAGAAAAACACAGATTGCTCATGCACAGATGGACTGCATTAGTGAAAACAGATTAGTAATTGTTTTTAGTTCCTGATGATGAAAACTCTACTGTGAACATCTACCTTGCTAGATTCTCCACTTACCAAATAACCAAATACTCCTGAGGATCCAGAATAGAACTTAAGAAGCTGAAGGCCAAGTAGTTCTACATAGCCATGAAGAAGGCCAGAGACCTTCTTGAGATGTTATCTACAGAGCTGGTCTGGATGGGATGCCAGTCTAAACCTACACATTGTGAGTGGAATTTTTGCAAAGGGATATTTCATGATAGGAGAATATTAAAAGAAATCAGCAACATTTTCATCAGAAAAACTAAAGAAGTTACAGCTTCTTGGAGGATGCTAGTTTCCTTGGGGTGTGTGTGTGTGTGTGTGTGTGTGTGTGTGTGTGTATGTGTGTAGTGTTTCAGTGGAATGAGGATTTAGTGGACGTAGGCTAGCATGAAGGAAAAAATCCAGGTCATGGAAATGAAGATTCTTTATGACCTTGTGTGACCCAGATGTCCACCCAGGCTTTTCTAAGCTTCAGTATCTTCATTTGGTCAGTGAAAGGGTTGTGTTACATTGGCATTTCCCAAATTTGCTTGATCAAAAGCACTTGTTAAAAATACAAATATGGCTGGCTTCACCCAAGCCTGTTGAATACAAATCAGAAAGATGAGGCCTGAGAATTGACATTTTAATCGGCATCTTGGGTGATTCTTCTTTCTGTAAAACATCTTTCAGCTCTAAGATATCCAAGATTTCTTCCCACTAAATTAGGGAAGTCATATCAAATGGCAAATCAGTGAAGTTACGTTATGGGTAAAAGTTTTGGTGGATGGTCAACAACTAAATCAAAACATGTGAAGATTGTCTTGGGTATACTTGAGGACTGTATTTTGCCCTTCTCTAAGTAAATATCACCTCTCAGGAGGTGCCTGATAAATTTGTTCACCCTGAAATTTAAATAGTTTAAAAGACTGCATTTTTTTTCTGTGACTTATCACCAGAATCTGAAGCCAATGGATTGAGGCATCAAGAATGCCAACAAGCAGGGCAAGCGCTGAAGTCAGGTGAGGACCCCACCCACTGCTCAGCACATTGCACTGAACTGGCTCCACACGAAGAAAGAGAGCCCGAATCAGTTCAAGGTGAATGACAAAAGACCTCCACCCCTGACACAAGGAAATATATCAGAAGTCAGAACAAAATTTGTATTCCCCTCTGGGTAGCTTCCTCAAGCAGTTCAATCTCTTTTCACCAACAGATCTGCTAACAAAGCTGATTAGAGTAATCTCATGTAGAAGAGTGAAAGCTCATAAACTACAAACTCAGTCTTTCATGTATTCAACATTATTTTTTAGTTTTCTCAGGAGCCAGGCATTGTTCCAGGTCCTTTAGACAGAACTGTGAACAAGATGGGTTCCTAAATTTATAGAGCTTGTTTTCTAGAAGAAGAGATGGATGGTAAATAAGTGAACAAATAAATAGGATCATTCCAGGGAGTGATAAGTGATATGTTGGGAAAAAATTGAGGAATAGTCTTTAAAAGAAAGGAGGAGTGGAGAGCCTACTCTACAGCCCTTGCTAAGGAGGTTCAGGGAAGACTATTAATACATGATGTTCCCTACCTTCAAATAAATTTTCTGGAGTATGAAATAAAAAACCTACCCAGAAAATAGTGAGACCAGAGCCTAGGCTTCCTAGTGTTTGGAGGTAACTTGTTTTCTAATGAGCTTAACCTTCTGAATGAATAAGGTTGCTCCATTTTTGCCTTGCAATGTCTTAGAATGATTTCTCTGAGTCCTTCTGTATTTGTTGCTAGCTAGTGTTTAAGTGATGAAAGAAGTTTAAAGATCTGTTTGTTTCCCTACCCAAAATGAGAAATCTTAGCAACTCATTTTCAGGAAACTAAAGGACAATGGCAAGACAACAGTAGGGAGGCATTGTAGACATTAATATCCACCTGCCAAAATCTATGGGAAGGTGGTTTGTTCTCAGTCAAGGGAGATCTGGAACTGTTTGATCACCAGAAATGAAAATCCCAGTTCTCATCCATTCTGTTAACTTTCACAGAAGTTATTTTTACTATGGGTCTTTACAGCCACATCTACCCAGACTCCTAGCATTGCCTAAATCTTGTTATTGTAAGAATTTTAAAAACCTGTAATTTCTTTTAAAATATACTCCATATGTTCTGTACTGTTCTTCATAAGCAAAGTAGATAAATAGCATGCTCAAATATATGACTTCTAAAATATTTGACAGAATATTTGGCTGTATCTAAAACAATCCACCATTGATGCAAGACTAACTACTCATTCAAATACTTCTACAGTATTTTGTCCTTTTTTGTTGATACTTGGAAGGTAAGATTTAACACCTGGGGTCATTGAAATTTTTACTTTTTTGGTGTTTGGATTTCTATACTGTAATACTTCAAGACTGTTACTTTTCTTTCTTAGCCAGCCTTACTGATGCACTAGTCTGAACATCTACGTGAGGGTCACTTAATATAGGTATAAGAGAGCCACCGCCATCTGGTGTATTATACAAGATACTACAATTTGCATGTTTAGTAATCCCATCAGGCAAGCAGCGAATTTTCCAGACCATGGGAATTTTCTCCTAGACAAATAAGAAAGTTCCAATGACCATACAAATTAAATAGAATAAAATATTATTCAACTGGTACTAAAGAAAGTAAAGTCCCTACTTAAGGATTTTTTTGGAGGTTGGAAGAGGGTGTAGGACACCATTCTCTGTATTTAGGAGGTAAAAGCAACTGGCAAGAAAGTAAAAATTGAAAATTAGTTATAAAAATTATAGAACATGTCCAGATTATCTGGAACAGTACATACAAATACAATGTTTGGAAGGATAATTTTGATGCCTGATGGATCTTAGTCATTAATTACATGCATTACTTCTTTAAGGTAGATTTTTACCAAGAAGTTTTATTCAGGAGATAAATACTTGCTTAATCCTTTTGAATCTTGCCAGCACTTTTGATGACCAGTATCAATGCACTTACTAACTTCCTGGCTGTTGGTGCATAGAACCAGCTAACTGAAGAAGCCAGTGCTAGAGAATAGCCAGTTAGAATCAAGTAAGATCTCGTCCCACAGTCGGTCACTTTGTGCCAGGAATTTCATATACTTCATCAGACTCATCTGTAAAACGGGGATGAGGGTAGTGTGCACTTCATAGGTGGGTTGGGAGGGCTAAGTGCCCAGGCTCAATGCATAGCACATTATTAGTGCTCAACAAATATTGCAAGTATACACACACCAAGCAGTTCAAACAAGTCTTATCAGTAGATGGGCTTCCGACCATGAACTCTTATAATTCACCATAAACTCTTAGCTCAGAGAGAAAGCCAAATACCAAATTTAAATGAATGTATAAAAAATGTATTCTCTGTTCTCAGTGACTTCAGAATTAAAGACCATTTTGGATGGTTTATTTTAAAAAGCCTCCCACAATATATGTGTGTGTGTGTGTGTGTGTGTGTGTGTGTGTGTGTGTGTGTTTTGAGGGTTAGTAGGACTGGAGGCAGGGAACTGTGGTTGAATTCAGTTAAGCAAATGGCTGTTTGGTGACTAATGATTTGTAAGTAGCAGTTAGGCTGAATTTAACTTCCCTCTTTAAAAACATGTACTTTGCTAAAATTTAGCTTAAAAAGTTGATCTACATTACCATGGTTTTCTGAGAGTTCTCTGCCTGTCATAAAGTGAATATCACATTTTCAATAGAAAATCAGTATTCTTCTCTAAGAGGCTTTGAGACTAAATAGCTGGTTTAATTCTTTTTAGGAAAGGATCTCATAAGCAAGTATAAAGCTGGAAGCAAAGTTCAAAAGTAGTTTTAAGTAAGTTATTTTCATCTCCAGCTATATTTTTCAGGATGTTAACAGCTCAATTGTCAACGTTTGGGTAAGTCATAAACTTTTCTGTGCGTGTGTGTGTGTGTGTGTGTGTGTGTGTGTGTTTCAAAGATTACGAGATAGATAGCGAAACACTTCAGCAGTCTCTGGCTTCTTAGTTTCAAAACTAGGAGAAACAGGCAGCCCTGATAAATACATTCTTTACCGCTAGGGGGTGACAGCTGATAATGAATCAGCTTTCTTTACAGTGAGCCATGTGTAAATACCGAATAGTTTCTCTAGTGTGAGAAACCGAAAGTGTAAATAAGGACTAAAAGGTATAATAGATAACGTGAAATAGGAAGAAAAGGGGCCAAGGGGAAGGGGAAGTGAGAGGGGTCGGGGGAAAGGAAAGAAGGGAACGGAATTAATATGAAAAAATGGACACAAAGTCTTTGTAAATAGGGAAGGCAGGGGAATGGGGAAAAAATAAGAACCAAGAGAGATTATGTAAAGGTGCAAATTTCCAATGATGAATGTCATTATATTGTATACTTAAAATGTACCAATAAACTTAATTAAAAAAAAATAAAGTTAGCCAAACTACAAGCTGGACTATGTTGCTGTTAGAGTACTGTTTCTTTCATTGATTGCCTGGTGATGTGTGTTTCGAAGCATTTTATTTGCTGACCATTCTCCACATCCAACACCCTTCCTGTTGTGATACGGCCCCCAGGCCTGATGGAGAGACAGTTAGTGTTCTACAGCTTTCAAGCAACTCTGTCCCCAAAACTACTTAACAGGTAGGAACATTTATTCAGTCCTGTGCCCTTTTGTAATTAAGGATTGTGCACAGATCCTGTGATGGGCATTGGGAATACAATCAGAAACAAGAGTATAATATCTGTCTTCCTAGTGTGTTTATCCTAGGGGGAAGATTACGAAAACCAGATAAACAAATACACAAATAAAATAATCACAAGTGTTAACAAAATAGATGAAGAATAGAAATATGAGAATGAGATATAAAATAGCTGGAATCCAGATAAGACACTGAATTAGATTAAATAATTGCATCATCTAAGGCTTTTGCTATTCTCTATCTAACCAGCAGAATTCAGTTACATTGTGCTCTACCTTCTTTGCTTTCCACTTGCATAGACTCTGGCAAAATCTTCAGAACTCAAACACTCTGGTCCCCTTGAAGCTTGGGATGTCACGGATGGGTGGTATCCAGCACCAGGGTCCTTCCTAGTAGATCTCTCTGAGTTACTTGGAAAGCTTCATTAAGAGACATGTTAAACAGAAGGGATATGCCTGGCCTCCTCCTCTGCATTTCAGCCTGGCTAGCTTGGCTCTATTTTGTCTAGTTAGTTGGAGTGCATCTTGAGAAGTATTGTGCTTGTCCACTTATAATTCAAATGATAGATTTGCTTTTGAAAAAGTAAGTCATTTAGCATGAAAAACTACATTAATATAAATATTGCTAAGACTATAACATTGTTGCAGTTGATTGTCACATGTGTTTTCTAGCCATTACAGAACATTTAATGATTTCGTTTTAAAAAGTTTTTCATTACCTCTTCATTCTGTAATAATTTAAGTCCTCATCTTTCAACTTCTAATGGGTTTCTTACTTTCTCTTCTGGGAGTCTGTTTCTCTTAACTTTCACTCCCTGGCATATGTATTATTTTCCTTTTGTTTATTCCAGAAGCAATTGGCTAAATAATGTTTATTTAGGATTTTATAGCAATTTATCTCTAGAAAAAAATGTTGGCTGGCTACCCTGTGATCTTTTCCTAGTTTCTCCCTTGGAACTAGGGATGGGACAAGTGACCTAGTTCAGCCAATGAGGTAGAAAAGGCAATACCTTGGTATCTTTTGAGAAAGATATATTCTCCATAATAAAAGGGGAAAAGTATATGTAGATCATGGACTCATGTTAGTGGCTTTTCCCTTGCTGCACTTGAATGAGGATGTGAGGGATGAAATGTCCAGATCTGCCAAGTCATCTTCTGAACAAAATCTTGATTCCAGTCTAGTGCCCTTGACAACATGGAGCTGATGAACCAGCTCTGACTTATTTAAATGGCCATCTTCTTGGATCTTATATCTTCTGTCATTTATTCAATGTCTTTGTTATTTTGCCACTACTAATTTGATACACTGTTACTGGGAGCCAACTATATCCTAGCTAACACAAACTA